AGAGGATATTGTGGGCTTTCCAAAGGTATCAAAATTCGACAGTATCGATGATCGAAAGTGGTCGAAAAGTTGCCGCAAAAATAACCCAAAAAATTGAAAAAAGTGTGTTTAAACTTCAGTGGTCATTTCTGCAAATTTTTAAACTTAAGTGATCATTTCTGAAAGCGTCCCGAAATTTAAGTGACTGTTACTGAAAGTTTTAAACTTTAGTGATCGTTTTATAATTTTCATGTAAGTTCAGTGACCATTTGTGAAATTAACCAGTAATTAAACATTATGAAAAAGTACATAGAAATTTCCGAAATTTGGACAGTTCCATTCCATTTCATCATCGTCAATCATCTCTCTCTCTCTCTCTCTCTCTCTCTCTCTATTTTTTCCCCTCAAAACCCCAAAAAATAAATATCTTCAATCGTTTTCAGCCTAGCCCTTTAATTTTCCATGGAACGGCGGGAAGTAAACGCCACAACTGAGTCGCCGGAGAAGATAATCCTCCGGTGGGATTCTACGGCGGCTGAGGAAGCCCGTGAAAAAATGATATTCGATAGCGACCGTCACGAGATCGACCTGTACCTCCACGCCGTGGACGACCTACAGAAGTCCATGAACGCCACCACCCTCTCTGATTCGAACTCCTCCTCGGCACTTCAGATGGCCATGGCTCGGCTTGAAGACGAGTTTCGCAACATCCTCCTTTCACACACTTATCCAATTGAAACTGAATCATTCTCCGAGTTCAGTAATTCGTCCACGTGTCATTCTATAGGTTCTACTGCGGATGGCAGTGAGTTGATTAGCTCGAACTCTGAGGAAGTAGAATTTAAGTACGATATTGAAGGAAGTCTGGTTAAACAATTGGAGCATCTGGAGCGCAATAGCAGCACTACAAGCTCTTCTTACAAGTCTACTAATGGTATTCGGGAAGTAGATCTCGTACCTAGTGAAGCAATTTACGATCTACGGTGTATAGCGGAGCGTATGATTGCTTCCGAATACTTGAGGGAGTGTATTCAGGTGTATGGCAGCGTAAGGAAGTCTGTTGTGGACGCGAGCTTCAAGAAGCTGGGGATCGAGAAATTGAGCATCGGGGATATACAGGGGCTCAAGTGGGCGATTCTGGAGACGAAGATTTGGAGGTGGATTCGGGCTTCGAAAACCTGTGTTCGGGTTCTTTTCGTGACTGAGAAGATGCTGTGCAAGCAAATATTTGAAGGTTTGGGTACTTCTACTGATGATGATTGTTTTATGGAAACCATTAAAGGTCCTGCAGTTCAATTGTTTAATTTTGCAGAAGCAATTAGTATCAGTAAAAGATCACCTGAGAAATTGTTTAAGATGTTGGATCTTCGTGATGCTTTATCTGATTTATTGCCCGATATTGAGGCTGTTTTTGAGTCGAAATCTACTGAATCTATTAGGTTCCAGGCGGTAGAGATATTGTCTAGGTTGGCTGAGGCCTCGAGAGGAATATTGTCGGAATTTGAGAATAGAATTCTTCAGGAACCATCAAGAGCTCAGGTTCCAGGAGGAACTCTTCATCCCTTGACCAGATATGTAATGAATTATATTATTTTGATATCGGATTATAAGCACACTTTGCTTGAATTGATTGTATCTAAGCCCTCGACTAGGTTGAGATACTCGGGTGATCTGAATATGCTAGATATGGATTTCTTGGAGTTTGAGGGAGAGGTAACCCCATTATCTCTTCATTTGATTTGGATAATTGTGATTTTGCAGTTTAATTTGGAGGACAAATCTAAGCATTATAAGGATGCTTCCTTGTCACATTTGTTTATCATGAATAATGTTCATTATATTGTTCAAAAGATAAAAGGGTCACCTGAGTTGAGGGAGATGATCGGGGATGAGTATCTGAAAAGGTTAATGGGGAAATATCGGCTGGCTGCAACTAGTTACCAGCGATCGACCTTAATGAATGTATTGTATTGCTTGAGAGATGAGGGATTGCATGTGAATGGGAGTTTTTCATCTGGTGTGTCCAGGAGTGCTTTGAGAGATAGGTTTAGGGCTTTCAATGCTATATTTGAGGAGGTTCACAAGACTCAAGCGACTTGGTTGGTACCCGACACTCAGCTGCGTGAGGAGCTTAGGATTTCCATAGGCAGTAAGGTTATTCCGGCTTATAGATCTTTTCTTGGACGGTACAGAAGCCATATTGAGAGTGGAAGGCACCCAGAGAATTACATCAAGTACTCGGTTGAGGACCTTGAGAATGCAGTCTTGGATTTCTTTGAGGGAAACCCGGTGTCCCTTCAACTAAGGAGGAGATCTCTGTAAGCAGAATGGAATTAAGTTTTTCCCCTTATGCTGTAGGATATCATTCTTTGAATTCTTTGTGGAGCTTTTGGGACGAGGTTCTGGTTTCTCCAATATTTGTTGAGGTTGTGATTCCTTTGAGAAAGCAGCTATAAAAATTTCAAAGGACGGTGAATATCAAGCGACGGTATAATCAATTCTAACTCTTTGTCAGTAGCCATTGCCTCTCTTCCTGAATGCTTCTGCCTGTAATCATGTTTTGTTTGTACTTTCCCAGTTTAGATTTTGTTTCATTTGTTTATATGAGTATTGTTACTTCTTAAATCTTCGGAGTCAATTATTTTTGTCAGCAAAGAATAGAATTTAGGTAAGTATTTACAATTTTAACTAACCTCGGCCAAAACAGGCGTTTGTGGAAACGCTTGATCCGGAGAAACTAAGCCCCTCTTTGACAACCATTATTTGAATACTCTTTTTTCTACATACTCATTTTCAATCACACATTTACACAATAAAATATTCAACACGTAAATTCAATTTTTTCTTACTTCTTAACCACACATTCTCCTAAAAATCACTAATCAAAACGTTGTTTTGGCCGAATAATGGCCATCAAACAAGGGCTAAGTATCGTGTAATTCCATTGATCTGCTGTTATTTTTCGTTTTTGCATTGGTATATTTATTAAAGGTGAAAACAATAAATGCAATCAGTATGATTTGAGAATTAATGAAATTGTTTTTACCACCACTTCCTAAACATTTCCAGTATCAGATGGTACTGGCCCTCTAAATGCTTCCTTGTATTACGCGATGGCCAGTGAAAAGTAGAGGGTATTCTCTAATAGTTTCTTAAATTTACTTCATCAGTGGGTTATTGGTACTTAAATAGGTTGTTAGGGCTTTGTTATTGGGATGTAAATTCTTCAAGAGAAATCAGTTTAGTGTTCTGCTCTTTCTTTATTCTTGAGTAGTCCCATAGATCTTCATTTGCAATAGTTATGGACTTTGTCCCACAATAAAGGACTAGTCCATGTCTCTCTAGTTGAGATCTGTTATCCATTTATGCTGTCTAATTTGCTATCCACTCAATTATAGATTGACACATGCTTGAAAGATGTGTTCTTTGGATTAAATACCCATTCTCTTTGGTGTTACTTCGTGAAGAATAGAACAATAGAGCTAATTTGACATAGCTATACATCTGGAACCTGGATCGCACAATTTGTAGACTTCTACTATTGAGTTTGGATTTTTCAACGTACTTTTATCGTGTCCTCTTAGATGTTGTCCTTGATGTCGTTGTGTCCCTATGCAAGATGAAACTTGGAGACAACGACTTCGAGGTTTCTTGCATAATGTTCTTTCCGCATTAAGTACATCATAAGTCTCTCCAGCTTATATTAGAAAGCGAGAACTCACATTGATTTAGAAAAGTATTCAAGAATATGAGACCGTTATCTGGTCGAAGCACTGGTCATGTGGCCTAATACCCAATATTGACCTGGTAGATTAGACCAGAAGAATTCTCTCTGTCACGACTAGTCTAAAGTCAAATAGAATTATGCATAGAATGTTGATTGTTTGACTCCTAAAAATGCCAAGATAATTGTTACAATGTCCAGTGTCAAAAACAACCAATTAAAATTCACCACATCAGCCAATACAAATTAGTGGGGCTTCAAGCTAAAAGATCCCTGTCCCAACTTTTAAAAAAATGAAAACAATAAGGTACTGAATTGATGAATAGTTTATTTTAAATTGTTCTAAAACACGGTGCATAGTTTGGTGTCGCTATATAATCATCATTATGTTGTTTTATATCTATGCTTTTCTATGTTCGTTTCGTCTAGTAAAAACTTGAAAATTAATCTTGCTATTTAATTACGCTCTACGCTTTTTAAAGTACTGATTTTAAATAATGCTTGCACCAACTTCTCCAACTATCAGTACATTTCTTTTATAATAAATGTAAACCCAATAATATGTCCTTAGCTTGAACAGAGAATATTCAAATTGTAGAATGGTAGTTCAGAACAAATTTTTCTTGGTTTGAAAGAGAACAATCAGATTCAGATCATTTTAAAAAAACGTGGGCGCTTAGACAATATATATATAAAATAAATGGACCTTTAATAAATTTGAACAAAATATAAGAGAGTCAGCTATTGGGGCTGCGATTTTTGATTTTATATTTATTTATAGATAAACTTCTTATCGATGGAGTCTGACTTTATATAAACATAGAAAGGACAATGTTAGAATATATATATATAGTTACGTATTTATAATTCTTAGTCTTTGTTCGGGCTCCACTATTTCGAATTATAATGAAAGGAATACTAATTTGAGTTCAATGATTCAAGTTTTAACAATTCGATGCAAGGTCCAGCTTTCTAATTTCCACTTTAAATAAAGGTTGCCACATGTGGTTGTCATTTATGGAAGTTAGTTACCTTCGAGTAAAATTAAAAGTTATTTTTTCGTTTAGTCGAGAACAAATATAATTTTAATTATTCATTTACAATTACTATCTATTTATTAATCACACATTTCTTTCGATCAAATATTATTCATCCTAAAAGTTACTAATATTATTTTTAACCAAAAACTTCTTCATTTACCGCTTTTTGATACTGAGCATAACTCCGATACAAATTGGAACCTATTAAGTGATTTTGAAGTTAGGGATCAAATGAATTGTGTTCAAGTGTATCCTAGTAAAAGAGGTCAAAAGTGCTCAAAAACAGATTCAACCAGTTCTGATGGGTTCTTGCTTCTACCACGCATACTTGAAAATGTGCTTTTAACTTGTTCGTTCGATAGAGTTCGCCAAACAAATCATTGCGTCTAGGGATATAAACTACTCATCCTCTTATTATATCCCTGCCCGTTCGAGCCATTGTGAGCGGGAGAGTGGACCGGCTGTTCGAGTCGCTAAAGGGCCAATATACTTTCCTACCAATTTAAAATGAAAATTGGCGAATCAAAGCTGATGCAATCCATGAGATTAAATGGTTATGCATAAAAACATGAAAGATGCTACAGATCCAAGGTAGAAAACAGGGTAAAAAAATAGGGGCATCACGTGTCGACAAGCAATTGGACAGTTTGAAATTTTTTTAAAAAAACATCCAAATCAGCATGTTTTCTTGCTTCTTGTATTCAACCCTGTCCAAGGAGTTTAATTCTAAAAACATAGACCACATGTTAAGCTCATAAGCAAAAAATCTTGATGAATGTCATAAATATCAATCAACAAATATGCAGAGGCAGGACAGATGAGACCAAATAAAAAGCATACAGAAATAACCGGCTGTTGTATTCCCTGGATTGCTCTTTCCTTTTCGCTCTGTAATTTCCACTATATATTGTGAGCCTAAGCTTGAACCTGAGCCTGCTTATCTGAATACAGTTACAATACAAAGACGTGTTTGATATGCATTACTAGATCGTAGTTGGACGGTATTTGAACAAAAAAATTTCTCATTTTTCTTCCGTAATATTGTCCCATGCTGTCTAATCAACCTTACCAATGGTACCATTACCGTAATCTTTCCACTTCATAGAGTCTTGTCCTCTTCGTTATCTCCTTGGGGCAAAAGACCTTTGCTGCTTTCTGCTGATCTGAGTTCTGAAGGACGCATTACATCCTTAGAAGGTAGAGATGATGGTTTAATGAGTGTCAAAGAATCTTCCCCATCGAAATCTTCACTAGCATCCTCGGAAGAAAACGCATATCTGTCAAATAAATTCAACGAGACTTGAATAAGCAAACAAAACTTACGTCACAATCACTTAGGATATTTGACGAGGTCTTCCCAAAGCGGATTCAAATGAACCTCATTCAATATGTAAAAGATTGTGGGATGTCAATACACGATGTAAAAACAAAAGCATTGACGATCGAAGACAACAGTCTTAAGATGTAAATGTTCAATTATCCCAACTGTTTCTGCCCAAGTGGCAGGCCCTGCTTCCTGATTGACGCACTGATCACGGGAGTGTTAAAACATATTTATTACATAAGTGAAAGCCAGATAATTACCGCATTGAGTTCTGAGATGGCGCCCAAAGAGCACAGATGACACACAAGAGTGAGAAAGACAAGACTTGCCAGAAGGCAGGGATGATCCATGCATTCTGCCATTGCTCATTGTACACATCATTTGACTTGAAATAAAGCTGCAAAAAATAAGTCATACAGTATATTACAACGTCGAAATGCCTCGAAGTACAAAATATAAGATAGAATAGATGATAGGGCCTCTTATTTTCGGGACTACCAGCATTACCTCATAGGAAATCCACCCAACAGAGACGATAACAGTAACAGCTAAAGCATTTGTAAACTTTCTGTAGATATCTAGTTTTGCTGTCATCCTTCTACCCTATCAAATGTACATAATGAAGACAATAGTTTCAGTTGAGTCAATAAGTGGGGGGAGAGAGTGAGAAGTTGAAAATAAAAAGTAATTGATTGCCCAGCCTATTTATTAGTGTTAAGGAACAGAACAAGCTGAATTCTCTTTTCCAGGAAAGATTATGCGATCAAGGTGACATAAATTAATTATAATATACTTTTAAGAAGTCTACTAGATCTCTCTATTAATGAGAATCCAAGGATATAAATGAACCAGATATGGCATACCAGCTCTATTGCTATTGACTGTTACTTTATGAACGAAATAAAGTGATACAGTCAGTTAAAACTCCAAAAATTCTAATTTCGAAATTTCAGTAGATAAACATTATTGCATTTAATGAGTGAAATGCCAACCTATACACCTTTATCAATTAGAATTACTTTTCCATGACCTCGTCAGGAACCTAATCTTTGTTGTTGCAATGCTAACAGCCTAACACTAGATGGTTTCTTAAAGAGCTTCTGCATTTTAAGGACTCCTATCAAATTTAGATCTTCTATAATCTTCTTTGAGGGATGCAACAAGGACTTAATAACAGAATATTTTACAATAAAATGCAAATGTGAAAAATACGAACTTGCAACATCAATAAGTTTCAGCTTGTTCACTACTGTTCTATGAAAACAACAAAAGAAAAATTGAGAACCAATTACCTGAAGCTTATTCAAAGTTAAGGAGAGGGATTTAAATATCCAAAGAATGAAGAAAGCATCCAAAATTGCCACAGGAAGACCAAAGAAAAGTATAGCTCTTCCTGAGAGATCACTTGTAGCACCAACATTTTCGACAAGTTCAAGGACTTCAGATGCAACAAAGAAGGTTGCTCCAAGCATTAGAACCTTTGATGTAAGGCCACCTAAAGTAGGTCGGACAACACCATAACCCATTGAAACCATCAGGATGATCAATCTTGAAATAGTACGTTTCACAGTACCAGATGAGACTGCCCATACAGTGATCCCAGTTGGTCTGACCCCGGTTTCATTGAACTTGGCATAATCAATGTACCACAAAGCCATCTCAAACATTCCCAAGGTTATTACAAGTGTAATAAAGTTTTGCAACGGAAGAACTTCTCTCCAGAATTTTGCATACTGTGAAAACCAGAAGATCCCAAGCACCATATATGCAAGTGACATGAACCCATAAAATTGCATGAGTGGTGCCATTCTACCAGGTAGGTAACCAGTAGGATTCTTCCAGATGGTTTTCCCCTCAAGAATAACATCTTTAAAATTAGGATCACAATGAATAAAATACAAATTGTACATTCCAGTTTTTGTAATTTGTATCGATCTTGGCTGCAGAATAGTCTCTGCCTTATCAACATCAAATGATGTATCATATACTTGAGGCCAACCAGGACTATTAGTAGATGGGCGGTAAATGATTTGGCCTTGCTTACAGACTCCAAGTTTCTCAAGATCTGCTGTGCAGCATACAGCTCTTTGACCCCCATAGGCTGATCCCCCAATTGTTTCTCTATCATCCACCTCAAATAATATTGCATGAATTGCCCCTGAGCTGAAGTTTGAAAGCTCTTGAGGCCTCCTAAATATGATCTTTTCAAAACTGGTTTTGAACAAAAATAAAGGTCAATTGTTATCCTTCAAGAAACATAAATCAGGCAAAGCAGATTATCCAAAATGGAAACCAAAATATAAATAGCAAGAATAAGCTAATGTTACGGACTCAGCTCACAACTTTAAACTTGTTGATCTTGCAACAAAAGTCACTTGTTTGTTTCTCTGACTTTTTAATCGAAATATAATGCTAAAAAAATTCACAAAGAAATATTTATTCTTAAGGACTAATAACACCCATAATGGCATAACCTTATTGAACAAAAAAGGAACAGGAAAATGATTTCCTGTTAAGTTCAATGCTCTTCATGCGTCTTAAATGTTTGTTATCCACTTAATCACCATAAAAATGGAAAATTATTTGTTCAAATTGAAATACGCTTTTGTTGGAAATATGGAAGTGATGAAGAATAGACAAAACAAATATGGCAACAAGATGAAATGAAATCAAAAAATTGTCAAGAACAATTTTGAAGGCTCGAACTCGGGATCGCTGTCCTCAAACGTTATTTGCCCCTTCTCCTATGTTTTCGAGATGTTTAAAGGTATTCCGACAAATGGTTTGAAGGATTATAATAAGCCTTCTTGTTAAAAATAACAAAGTACAAGAAATTTTCCACCAAAACTTTGAAGAACACGATAAGAAAATGAATATGAAATATGAACAAGAATTTGATCTTTTGATTGTTGAATTGGAATGAATTTCAAGTGTAATTCTATTGTTTTTCTCTTGGATCATGGCTCCTCTATATATAGACCACGACTAGAGATGTGAAATGGTGCCAAAACATAAGTGAAAGGTCACCAAAATCAAAAATCAAACGTACAAAAAAGGCCCTCAACGGCAAAAAATATGTACCACGCATGGCTTATGCAAGCCAAGGCCAAAAGGCCTCGGTGGTCGCATGGCCAAATCAACCATGCGGTCGCATGGTTGATCCTACTTGCTATGGTTTGATTTTTAAGCCATCTTTTCATTCCATACACTGTGCTTTGTTGATTTTAAACAACAAATCCCAACAATTCCCCACTTGTTAAAAATTAACAAGGTCTCATTTTCAAAGTATACGATACTCATGCATAAAGATTAGATATCTTTCGATTTGAATCTAACCATAGTATAATTCAAATAAAGTAAAGTCGGAATCAAAGGTAGAGTGAAACTTTAAATCAGCTATTCCATGTGACAATACCAGTAAGAGAATACACACGAGTACCACATGTCCTCAATTACTCATAACCCGCTTAGCGCTTTAATGGCCTTGCGCTCATCCTATTCAACAAAATTTTTAAGAGAGCAACTCCAACTCTCTATTGAAGCTGCACCAACTCGAAGTTCGTTTAGATAAAGTTCCTCCAGTATCTTTGTTACATTTAAAGGTACTTGTGTTTTAGCACTGAACTTTATTAAGAGTTTAAAACTCAACCCTCAATTCAGTAACACCCAGCATTATTTTAATTAGGATAGGATTATTGCAAATGTTAATAATGCTGCAGCTATCCATATATCGAATGACTTGTTGTTACCCTTTGAATTGATGGATTACTTTTTGAGTAATAATGGGTAGGGTTGCTGTCATTGGTGGACCTTTTTAGTTAAGGAATAGATGCTACTAAATCTCTATTTAAAGATTTAGTCAAAAGATCCGTCAAATTCTCAATTGACCTTACATAATTTAAGGAAATTATTCTATCTTTGACTAATTTCGTTATGTAGTCATGTTTAAGACTCATGTGTCTAAATTTTCCATTGTATACCTCATTGTATGCTTTTACTAATGTGGCTTGACTATCACACATGATAAGAAATATTCTTCAATCCCAAAGGTATCTCATAAAAGAGATCCTTAAGCCACCCAGCTCTTTCCCGGTATCCGATAAGGCTATAAATTCAGATTCCATGGTAGAGTGTGTTATATATGTTTGTTTCTTTGACTTCAAAGAAACAACACATCCCCCTAGAGTGAACATTCAACACATCGAACATCCAACCCAATGTGGATTTATTTTCATCTGTGCTAGATATCTGATAGACCCTCACATTCAATACAAATTGTTATTCATTTACTATTCTAGAATATTCGTTAGTCCGCTAGCAAAAGGGTAAAAATGTGATAGAAAGTTGGTAGAGTCTCTATAAACGTAATAAGGGGGAAGCTGTGATATTCATCCAGGAAAATAGTGAGAAAATTGGGAGAGTCCAGGCATCTCGAATGCCTTGAAAATTGTCATTTTATTTCTGTTGAATATCAATATAACATTCAATTTTTTTCATTGATTTGCTTCAACAGTCCAATTTTCTATCAATTGGTATCAAAGCACTCGATTCTAGGGAGGATGGAAACAAAGTACAGCAAGAAATCGGAGGAGATATGGATAGGAGACCAAGCACTTGATCTGGATTGGATCCGCTTGGCCGTCTCAAAATATCAATATTCTACGGAGAGGGTACAAAATGGTAGGTGTCGGAGGCAGAGAAGATTTTCTCTAGAAATCAGTTGTCAGAGGTGGAAAAAATAGAGGCCATCGTAGCTTGTTTTGACTGGAGAACCTAGAATTGGTATGAGCAGGAAGATCGATCACGATCGGTGCGTACATGGAGAGAATTGAAAGGGTTGATGATCGATAGATTTCGTTTGTCTCAAGAGGACACAAACTGGAATCCACCTCAACAAGAAGACACCATAAAAGAGAAGGGGAAACCGTTAGGAGTTGTAGAGTCTCCTCCGTCGAAGAGTCTTGAACCAGGATCGCTGCTACAAAACACGTCGGAGAAGATGAACATGCCGACAATTCCGGATGCGGTGTTCCATGGTGATAAGTCAGCTGGCGAGATTATTGGAGAGGAGAGGACGATCAAGAAGAAACAATTAGAAGTTCGAGCTAATAAATTGGAATCAATAATCACTAAAATGATGAAGAAGATGGATCTGATGTTGAAGAAAGGGGGAGAAATTCATTGCAGATCAGCCACCTCGCCCGAACACACTTCCAATTCTGAAATCCCAAACAATTCTGATGACACTGGAGATGATGCTCGCTGTGATGGATCATTGAAGAGGCAGGGGCACACTGTGGCAGAAGTTTCCAAATTCACAATGAATTCGATGGTAATACCAGCAGTGGAAGAGGAGATTAAAGAGGGGATCGCAGGACTGACAACCACCAAGTCTGGAGCTACCTTCGCTTCTAAAATTTCACCCCATTGTGAGGATACCGAGGCAAGCACAGGTGTGTCAGTGAGGAAATCAGAGCTTCTTGGCCGGCACACACTGAAGCGGTGAGGGAAGGCATCCTGATTAATGGACTAAACTCAATTAATCTGACCAAAAACACTGTGGATCCGAAAATTTCAATCAAAACCAACTAAGCAAGGGAAGGTACAGTCGGAAAGAGTCGCTGTAAGGAAACTATCGCCCGAGAAAATTGGAGATTAACTAGAATCTTACTATCACCATCGCCGGAAGGGAAGAATTCGGGACATTGCGTGGAGGAGATTTCAATGAATGATATGGAGAGCACAATGAAGAAACAGGAAGGAACTAGGCTGGAAACTGACTTTTATAAAAAACCTATGGGTTATGATTTGAAGTTGGGCCAAAGAGTTGAAGATCAAATGAATCCTTGAGGCAGGCCCAATGGCCAGATAAGAATGAATTATGGAGAATGGCCCAAATGAAGCAGGCCCATTTAAAATTTGGCCCATCTACATCTAAAATTAATATAGATAACCCAAACCCACAAATCATTTATTTCCCAGTCCACACACATAACCCGTCTGTCAATCAAAATTCACCTTCATTTTCAAGCCCAAAATCAGATTCCGTTCCTCCAAAATTCGTTAAATTGCAGCTACTACAAGCACAGCAACAACTTACTATTTCGCAGCTTCAAAGGAGAATGGAAAATGGTTTATGCCTTTATTGTGACAAGGAAAATCCAGTAGGCCATAATTGTGAAAATAAAGGGTTACAATTGTTGGTGGTAACTGATAATTTGGAGGAAGTATGCTTCATAGAGGTGGGAAACGAGGATGGGAAAAAAATTCCAAGGATGATAAAGTTCGAAGATGTGGCCAACTATCAATTGTTTACAACTCATCGAGCTCAAAAATTGGATATTTTGCGGGTAGAGGCCATTGGATATGGAGTTGCTTTGGATACTATAATTGTGATAGTTGCCTGATTAAGTTGGTCCATCCATTTCAAAGGGCTGAAACATCTCTCCTTTTCAATGACCATGGCAGGATCTCTTGCAAAGAAAGTTGTGTGGTTGTACGTTGAACGGCTCAAACACAAGAACCTTCACCTTGAAGACAATGTGGATTTCGAGGGGGCGAGTAGTGATAGACCCTCACATTCAATACAAGTAATTCATTTACTATTCTAGAATATTCCTTGGTTAGCAAAAAAGTAAAAATGTGATAGAAAGTTGGTAGAGTCTCTATAAATGTAATAAGAGAGGAGCCGTGATATTCATCCAAGAAAATAGTAGGAAAATTGGGAGAGTCCAGGCCACTCGAATGCCTTGGAAATTGTCATTTTATTTCTGTTGAATATCAATATAACATTCAATTTTTTCATTGATTTGCTTCAACAGTCCAGGTTTCTATGAATTGGCTATAGACCCTCACATTCAATACAGGTTAATCATTTACTATTCTAGAATATTCCTTGGTTAGCAAAAGGGTAAAAATGTGATAGAAAGTTGGTAGAGTCTCTATAAATGTAATAAGGGGGGAGCCGTGATATTCATCCAGGAAAATAGTGGAAAATTGGGAGAGTCCAGACCTCTCGAATGCCTTGGAATTGTCATTTTATTTCTATTGAATACAACATAACATTCAATTTTTTCATCGTTTTGCTTCAACGGTCTAGGTTTCTATCAATATCCAACTAGAATCAGTAAATCCTTCCAATACCGCTGGGAATTTAGTGTATTGTAGACCTAAATTCTTAGTTTTCTTTAAGTATTCAAGAATTTTCCCAATTGCCCTCCAATGATCATTGCTTGGATATTAGTAAATCTACTAAATTTACTAATTGCATATGCTATGTCCGGTCTTGTTGAAGATAGAAACCTCTTCGTTTCTTCCATAACGTCCGTGTGATTACTTATAATCAACATGTCGTCAACATACAAACATATAAATGTCACGTAATCATAACACACTTTAAAATATAAACATCTATCTGTGCTATTATGTAAATCCGAATGATAATATTGCTAAGTCAAACTTCTCATGCCATTTCTTAGGTGTCCGCTTCAAATCATATAATAATTCTACTAACTTGCATACCTTATGTTCATTTTCAAGTAGAACGAACCCTTCGGGTTGCTCCATATAGACCTCATCATGGAGATCCCCATTTCAGAATGCCGACTTGACATCCATTTGATGATCATGAAAGTCATATATCGAAACCAATGCGAATAATATCCTAATCAATGTTATTCTAGCTACCGGTGCATAAGTATCAAAATAGTAGATTCCTTTCTTTTATCGATATCCTTTGGCTACTAATCGAGCCTTGAAAGTATTTAGAGAGCCATCAACATTATATCTCCTCCTAAATATCCATTTACAACCAATAGGTTTGGATTCTAGTGGCAAATCGACAAGTTCCCAAGTATTATTAGACATTATCAAATCTATTTCATCTTTAATTGCATTTTTTCAGAAAATGCTATCACGAGAAGCCATAACTTCTTTATACGTTTTAGGGGCGGTTTCCACTTGTAGAACAAAAGAAATTATTCTTATAACATTCAACTCATTTCCTTCTACTAGGTAGAAGGAGATAAGTTGATAATCAATTTCATTCGATCCCAAAGATTTCTCAACTCGAGTTCTCTTGCTTCTTCTTGGTTCACAAGACTCATCAATGTCTTTGGAAAACATTTCAACATGTGTTCCACTTGAGCTAAGGATATTTTCAAGATTTTCCCTCAATTCATTATCCGAAGATAACGAATCCTCAAAGAACTCTACATCACTTGACTCGATAATCATATTGGTCTCCAAGTTTAGTAATCTATAAGATTTTCTATTGTTAGTATATCCAACGAAGGCACGTTTAATGCCTATTGGACTTAATTTGTTCCTATTAGAGTTCATGTTCTTGCAATAAGCTAGAAACCCCACACTTTGAAATATCCAATGTTCGATTTTCTTCCTTTCCACAATTCGTAAGGAGAAACATTTGTCTGTTATGAAAGAATCCTATTAAGTATCCTACATGCACTTAAAAAAGTTTCACCCCATAAATTAAACGACAACTTCGCATATATAAGCATGGCATTGATCATTTCTACTAAGGTTCTATTTTTTCTTTCAGCCAAACCATTTTGTTCGAGTGTCCTAGATGAAGAACATTGGTGAATTATGCCATATTGTTCACAAAATAAGTTAAATTCACTAGAAAAGTATTCACCACTTCTATCACTTTTTAAGGTCTTTATTTTCTTTCCTAGATGGTTTTCATTGAACGCCTCGTTTTTATGTTTCATAAAGTACACGTGTATCTAGAGAAGTCATCAATAAAAGTAATAAAGTACCTATTTCCGCCCCTAGTCAACATGCCATTCATTTCACATATATCAGTATGAATGAGTTACGTTCTTTTCACACTTTGATAAGGTCTTTTAGCCATCTTAGATTCCACACATGTTTTGCATTTGTATTCATTATTTTCATTATATGAAATCAAGTCATATTTTTTCAATCGTTTCATAGTACTTTTACCTATATGGCCTAATCTAGCATGCCATAATGAAAATAAATCAAGAGAATAAGCAAAATAAACTTTATTTATTACATTGTCAACCGTACATAATTTGACAATTCCTTCACAAGAATAGCCTTTTTCCAACAATTTTCCTTTAAGGGATAATACAAATTTATCGGATTCATACACACATTTGATACCCGATTTTCTTAAGAGATTACCACTCACTAAGTTCATATTCATATCCGAAACATGTAGTTCATTTTTAAGGGTAACGGTTTTCCCAGAAGTGAAGATATCGTCATTTCCCTTTCCAATAACCTTGGATCGAACTTCGTTGCCCATTTGAATCTCTTGGTCTCCATCCACTTCATGATATGTTTTGAATAAATTTATCATATGATACATATACAGTAGTACAAGTATCATACCACCACCCGAGAACCTTTCCCTTGATTGTATTTTTTCACTTACGGTGGCCATAATTTTATCCTCTTGGATGAAATTTATTTTACGGTGTCTACAATCCTTTGCGTAGTCTCCAGATTTTTCACATACAAAACACCCTCCTTTGGTCTTCTTTTTGGACTTATTAAAATTTCTCGAAGGTTTCCTCTTGTTGAATTTTGCAGGCAGTTCAGATTTTACGACATCATTGGCCTTAGAAGTTTCTTCCAAAGAGTTTTCACTTCTATCACGCAATCTAGATTCCTCCTCAATTCGAAGATATTTTTGCAATTGTTTCAAAGAACAGTCTTCGAAACTATGCATTATATTCTTCCGGTATCCTTTCCAAGTACCCAGAAGTTTAGCAATTATAACCCTTACTTGAAAGGTCTCCGAAATTTCAATATTCACCGCATTTAGCTTGTTGACAATAACTTGCAATTCGTGTACTTGGGGAAGTAAAGGGATATTATCAAGAAAATTAAAATCGAAATATTTAGAAATCAAAAATTTCTTGGTACCTTCCTCTTCCGCTTTGCACTTACTCTCCAATGCATTCCAAATCTCCTTTACCGATGTTGTGTTTGTGTATAAATCATACAAACGATCCGATAGCACGTTGAAAATGAGACCACGGCATATTGATTTATCTTCTTAACGTTTTTGCCTTTTAGCCTTGATTGCTTCGGTCTCTCTATTAGTGGGTTCCGGTAACCGCGCCAAATCTGGATCCAAATATAGAAGATCTTCAACGCAGTAAGGAGAAACTTCAACTTGTCTTGCCACCGCATGAAATTAGTGCCATTGAACCGATCCAACCGCACCAAATCTTAGTTCATGAGTTTTATGGTTGCTATTGTAGCCTCGCTCTTCATTGCAAGAAATAACGTTTGAGATTGTTGGAAATATGAAAGTGATGAAGAATAGACTAAAGAAATATGACAACAAGATGAAATGAAATCAGAAAATTGTCAATAACAATTTCGAAGACTTGAACGCGGGATCGCTGTCCTCAAACGCTATTTGCCCCTTCTCCTATGTTTTCGAGATGTTTAAAGATATTCCGACAAATGGTTTGAAAAATTATAACAAACCTTGTTGAGAAAAATAACTAAGCACAAGAAATTTTCCACCAAAGCATTGAAGAACGCGATAAGAAAATGAATATGAAATAAGAACAAAATTTTGATCTTTTGATTGTTGAATTGGAATGAATTTCAAGTGTAATTCTATTGGTTTTCTCTTAGATCATGGCTCCTCTATATATAGACCAAGACTAGAGATGTGAAATGGTGCCAAAACACAAGTGAAAGGTCACCAAAATCAAAAATCAAACGTTCAAAAAACTGCCCTCAACAGTAAAAAATATGTACCGTGCAACCGCATGGCCAAATCAACCATGCGGTCGCATGGTTGATCCTACTTGCCATGGTTTGATTTTTAAGCCATCTTTTCATTCCATACACTATGCTTTGTTGATTTTGAACAACAAATCGCAACAGTTTTTTTAGCTAACTGCAACAATTAGAACAACCCCACCCGCAGAATTTTCGAACCTACACATCTCTATCAAGATTTAAAGTGGATTTAGTAGGAGTCAACTACTAAAGCTAAGTAGATTTTCGATGCTCATCTAATTAAGTAGAAATGCTTCAAATTGCACGATCAATTAAAAATCCTCAAGATTGCATAAGATCTAATCCGCCGCCAAAACTACTCTTCACTAGAGTTTAACATAAATTCCAAGTGGATCTAGACACGGTAAATCGTACACTAACTAAGCAGATTCAGATTAAACTACTTAGATTCGAT